AGCTGGGTGTCAGCTTTTTAATGAGGGCCATCCGGGTGGGGAGCCACTTGGACGGTGTGCTTTCATTGCCTGTGCTCTGACCATGCCCGTAGAAATGCCCATATTGGAGGCAGTTTCACAAATGGGATGTGGGCCAGAGTGGGCACATTTCCTTTGGCTCCAAAGTAGGCAGTCTTGGGTGCTTCTTTTCCTTGGCTCCTCGCCATAGAGGATGTGAGAAAGTTCCGTGAGGCACCCTCAGAATAGCAAGGGAAGCAAAAGCTCAGGATGAGATGGAGAAGGAACATGGCGGATGCTACGGCCCTACCCATCTTGATGGGGAGAGGATTGGAACATCCCCAGGCACCCCTAAGCCTGGTCCAGCTTTATTCCTGGTGGACCCCAGAGGCCAGGAAAACTGAGTTGAGCATTGAGTAGGTAGACCAAAAAAAGGCCATGGATTTGCTTTTTGTTGTCTGCTTTTTGTTTGTTTTGGATGTTGACCTGAAACAAGACTCCTCAAAGAGGAAATTTGCTCCTCAGAGCTTGGGGTTGGAGCAGCCTCTGACCGTCTTCTTCTTGCCTCCATGTTTTAAGTCTCTCATCAAAATGGCTGTTAGTTCAGGGCTAGGAAAGTTTGCGCCTGTTGCTCCTGGAGGAAGAGGAGGTAGAGAGAAGTGATTCAAACACCTTGCTCTGGAAGGGCCTCGCATCACTTGAGATGAGTTTAATTTCCACTTGGGAAATACGTCCTGCCTTTGTCTTCCCGAGAGCTTTGTGCAAGGTCTGAGCCAACCAGGGGCTGGTGGGAGTCCAGACATAGAAGATTTAGAGAACATTCTGGTGTTTCCAGAGAGGATTAAAAACCAGACTTGGGCCAGGATATTTGCTTTTCCCCCTAAGGCCGCATCTCCCTTAAACAGAAATTCTCTCCTCACCACCTCTCCCCGCTTGCAATGAAAGAAGCTATGTTTGGGTTCCAAGTAAAGAGCCCTTGCCTGTGTGAACACCTCCAAGAATATGGCGGTGGTCCACTGGCCCATCCTGTTTTCAGTAGCGAGGATGCCTGGATTATGGTGGAGCAGTTAACTGTTTCACTTATCATTACTCAATTTTTATATACCTCACTCCCGAGGACATTTGGGCACATTTTTACAGGGACTCAACATTTTTAAATTACCACTTCCCTTGGACCAACTAGAATTTTGGAAGCTGAGCTGCATACATTTTTTTTTTCTTCAGATTTTTGTTAAGTACTTGCCCTTACTCTCAACAGTGAGTAGAGAATGCTCACTTTGGAGAAAGGCGACCATTTCTGTTAAGAAGTTTTATTCCTGTCTAAAGGGATTAAAGTTTTGGCATTACTTCTTCACTGCTCAGGAATCAAGATGTTTAGAAAAAGTCCGGGTTGGTACGCTTTCAAATAGAGTTTGGCTGGCTAACAGGGAGTGCATGATGGTTTTCTCCCATGTTGTCAACTTCTTTTCTGAAAGCGCTTCTGTATCAGAATCCTATATAGAGATATATATATAGAGAGAGAGAGAGAGAGTATTGTCCTTGCTCTTAAGGTGCTTGCAGCCCCGTGGTGTTTTGGGAAATTCAGAGGATCCTCCGAAGACCCAACATCCTGTAAAATGTCATACAAGCCACATGGAGTCTCAGATTCTCTAGGAGCTGCGTTTGAAATTAAAAGGGAACAGGTAGACACCTGCACCCCAATGTTCATAGCAGCACCATTAACAATAGCCAAGACATGGAGACAGCCTAAATATCCATCAACAGATGACTGGATAAAGAAGATGTGGTATATTTATACAATGGAATACTATTCAGCCATAAAAACGGCAACTTAACATCATTTGCAGCAACATGATTGTTCCTGGAGAATGTCATTCTAAGTGAAGTAAGCCAGAAAGAGAAAGAAAAATACCATATGAGATCGCTCATATGTGGAATCGGGGGGGGGGGAAGAACATAAATATAAAAGGGGACAGGTGATATTCATTTTCATTAATTACTTTGTTTTGATTTTAATCATATATTTGATTTAGCCCCATATATGCGAAATATTATCATTAGAACATGAAATCGGTCTAAAAAATTATTGGAAGACTTTATGTTCTTGTAGGTATTTTTCCTTTCTAGTGTATCCCAGCTCACACTAGCCACGTTTCAAGTGCTCAGTAGCCACGAGTGGCCATCCTGTGGGACAGCCAGGTCTAGAGACTAGGGTGTGAAGGGGGATAATGAGAAATGCCTCTGTAAAGGAAGGAGGTTCATGTCTTCCTGTGCCGAGTACTAAAGCCTCCTGAGAGTACTACCAGGAAGTAACTCAAAGCACAATATTTATACATAATTCCTTACATTTGATTAGTGCTTTCGAGACGAGAGAGCAGGTACTTTCACCCACGCTGCCCATTTGATGCTCAGAACCCCAGGGGATGTAGGCAAGGCAACTATTTTAGGTCCTTCTGAGGACAAGTGGGAAACCTGAGATACCATGTGTCCCCCATCTCCCGCCATTCCCCAGTGAGGACCTCTGCACCCAGAGGGGAAGCCAGGCTGCCGATCCCAGGGGATGTGACTGATGCCAGGAGGCTGATGGAGCCAGCTGCTGTGTGCACCTGCAGGGCTACAGGTCACATCTGTCAAGCAGTGAAGGAAGGGGACTGTTCCTAAGGGATCTGAAGAATTCATTAATTAGCAGAATGGGAAGGAGGTGGCAGTCCCAGGGGTCCTAGACAGTGAGTATGTGGACTAGGGGTTCATGTCACTGTGTTTCCTGCAATGGGGTGTGTGCCCACTTGCTGCTCATACCAGGAGTGGGTGCCCGGGGGCTGGGTTTTCTGACCGTCGTTTGTCTTACAGATGTGGGACTAAGGGCCCAGAGGGGAAAGAGAGGAAGAGACTTTTGCAGGGAAGCTGCCAGATTAGTTTGAAGTGCATTAATCTCAGAGCTGAAAGAGGGCAGCCGGCAGTGAGACCACACCTGGGAGGAGGTGGGCAGGCTTTTCAGGGGCCACAGTGGCCGAGTGCTGGTGGAAGCTGCCTGTCTGCCTGGGAGAACAAGCTTCATCCTCTAAGGATGATAATACCACCCTTTCTCATTGGACACTAAAAATTCATTCCTGACTCTGGCTGCTCCTGCAGGGCTTAGGTGCTAAGTCAGGTGTCGCTTTCCGCCTGCATCTGTTTGGTGTATCTTTGGGAGGAGATGAGATGTGGAATGTGGGTTAGGAGGATGTCCTCTGGCAAGCATTGCTTCTGTCCGCAGCCAGAGATCCTGCCCCATCCTGTGTCCTACGTGGTACATTGTGAGCTGCTCCCAAGGGTCTTTCTCTCAAGCAAAGGAATTGAGAATCAAGGCTCACCTGTCACCAGAGTTGCCTCAGATCTGTCCTTATCTATGTGGTTTCCTTGTGGCACAGACACACCCTTTGGAGGAAATGAGTTCACATCCCATAGAGCTAGGTTTGATCAACCCCTTCATTGCTTCCACCCTGGCCTCCAGCATCGGAAGACCCAGGTGATGGAGCCACAGGGCTGCTGCTTCCTCGCTGCATCTCCTTGGGCAAAGCACTCAGCCTCTTTGAGTCTCAGTTTCCCTACTGCTTAAAGGGCCAGAAAAATTCCTACCCTGCCCCCAATAAGTTTATAGCAAGGAAGAAATGAAGTTTTACTAGTCCATGCTCGGCACATAGTAGGTCTTCAGTAAATCCTTGTTCGATTATGTCTCGTCTAGTCCCTTTCCTAAATTTAGAAAAATGGAAGAGAAGTGTTTACTTCTCCTTTGATTTGAAGGTTTTTTTTGTTTTTTTGTTTTTTTAATGTTAGGAAAGCCTGGGGAGGGAGCTAGCGGTGGTGCCTGCGTCTTCCCACCGGCAGGGTCTTCCCACTGGCAGGGGCTGGTGAGCGGAGCCAGGAACCCGGGGCTTTTCGGCCAGCCGGGACTGACTCACTCACTCACGAGGGGCCCTGTCTGGCTGGGGGTGGGGGGAGGCCGGGCCGAGCACCACATTAGGGCATGTTCCGGGGAAGTGGATTCTCTGAATAACTTGGATGGTTCCCTGGTGTATTTAGGACAAAAGCCACCTGGGAGACGGAGGCGGTCACCCCGACTGGAGCCCAAACGGCGCCCAGAAAGTCTCATCACTTGGTACATGCTGAGCAGCAAAGACCTGTGGTTCCTGGAGACCCTGGAGGGTTGTTTTAAATGTTACTAGTCAGGGTCTGAGAAGGATCAAGGGCTGCAGTCTGTGCTCCCCCCCCCCCCCGCTTCCCCGGGCGGGCGTGGGCCACCTCTGAGTCAGGGCTCGTGGGAGCCCTCCTTCCTCAGTGCGACCTTTCCCCACTTCTGGATTCATTTCTGTTGGACAGTCCGCCGTCACCTCTCAGCATCGGGGAGGACTGGGTCCGCCTCACGGTTCCACACTCGGAGATCCTTTTTAAGCAGTTGGTGAGACTTGTGTTTGGTAGAACCAGAGGTCCCTGGGAGGCATCCGGATTTAGAGACGAAAAGAATCTTGGAGATGGCTTATTTCAGCTTCCTCGTCACACGGGTCCAGGGAGGGTCAGCATCTCGCCCGGTTCCCATTCCCTGGTTTGGGACTTATTCCATAAGCTTCATCTCTCTCTGTATCCCTCACTGAATGGTTGGGGTGCCCTAGAAGGGGTGAAGTCTTCTACTGGGGGAGTCATCCGCACACCCACGTCTCCTAGGGGACCTTCCTGAGGCTGTTCATTTTCGCAGCACAAATGATCTCAGGGCTCATGCCTCGGGAACCTCTGACGATTTTCCCAACAAGGGAAACAGTCCCCACTCAGTAAATAGTTGTAGGACTGAATTAACTTACTCCTTTGTCGAATTAAGGCCGATAACCTCAAATTCAGCACTAGGGCAGGACCACAGTTCCCTTCTTTGTTGCCTGAAGGAGTAAGTTATCCTAACTTAGGGTGGCTGTGTGACACGCTTTACCTCTTTCTCTCTGGGCTCCCTGCCCCCATGCAGACCCTCCTCACTTCTTGGGTTCTTCTCTCCCCAGGGTCAGCTTGCACAGGAGAACCAAGCCCACAGCAGAGTCTCCATGGAGATGTGGAGCCTTGTCCCCGACCTCTAACTGCAGAACTGGGATGTGGAGCTGGAAGTGCCTCCTCCTCTGGGCTGTGCTGGTCACAGCCACGCTCTGCACGGCCAGGCCGGCCCCGACCTTGCCTGAACAAGGTAAGGGCCTGGGCTGCGGGTCAGCCTGGGCTCCACGCCCTCGGAAACAGGGTGGTCCGTGGTCCAGGTCAGACGTGACGTGGCCGACTGGGAAGGCTCCAATCCACGTGGAGCAGAGGGCTCCTGGCCTGGAGGAGAGACTCCCAGGTTCCTTGGGCTGCTTGAGGCCTGGCCATAAACGTCACCAGCTTCATCAGAGGTTGGGTCATGGAGGACATCCATCTGCCAGGAGTGACACAGCCAGGGTGGTTTATACTTTTCTCCTCCTGAAATAAAGAACGTCTGATTGGGACCCGAGGGCCAGCTCCCTAACCTGGATGATGTATGAGACGGGGTTGGGTGATGCAGTGGGGAGTGCGTGACCTATGGACTCGAGTTTTGAATGTGAATCGGGTTACAGGGCTCATGGAGGGATGTGGGAGCTCCGTAAAGACCTCTGGCTTCTAGAAGATTATTCCAGACTCTCACATCTGTGAGGGGCAGATCTCTTGCCCACGTGCCCCCCATTGTGTCTTTGTTGACGGAGTCTCATAGGCCGTTTGGAGGCCTGATGAGAGGTTTGCTTTGGGTATGTATTGCTGAAGGAAATGGAAGAGATGGAAAACTGGGGAGCATTATTGGCCGTGGGAGCTGGGAGGGACGTACAGTTTATTGGAAATTCGAAGCAATTATTAGTAACAGGAAGGACTCTGCCCATCCCCACCACCTCCCACTCATGGGATTTTCTGTAGTTGGAAAAATAACTTCATGGAGATTACAGGTACAGCACACCTGCTGGCTTTCGAAGGTCTTTAAGAACTAATATTTGGGCATTTCTGCTGCCAAAGGGTAGTGTGACTTGTGACTCAGTGGCTGATGACATAAACAGAGGAGGTAGGCAGGCAGTGGGTAGGGGGCTCAGGTGTGCAGGTGATGTGGTGGCTGCATTTAAAGGGCCATCAGCCTCACTGCCAGGACGTGCTAGAATGACGAATGAGGAGTGCGAATTTTTGTCCACTTGAATGGTGGTGGAGAAGGAGGAGGGAAGAGTGTGTGGACCTTCTAGAAGGTACACTGGCTGGAGCAGGCAGATGCATGTGGCATTCCGTGACAGAACTGAAGGCAAGGCCTGACCTAGAAGTTGATGAAGACCAGAGTAGGAGGGAGCATCTCTGCCCCCAGGGAGTTCACTATCGGGTAGAGGGTGACAAGTACCGAGACAACTAAATACAAAGTAGACCGTGTTTAAACCACACAGCAGAATTATAACACAGTGC